TTTTTTATTTTTAGATTTTATTTATTTATTTGACAGAGAGAGACAGCGAGAGAGGGAACACAAGCAGGGGGAGAGTGGGAGAGGGAGAAGCAGGCTTCCCACTGAGCAGGGAGCCCGATGCGGGGCTCGATCCCAGGACCCTGGGATCATGACCTGAGCCGAAGGCACATGCTTAACCGACTGAGCCACCCAGGCACCCCTTGCCCCGGTTATTATTATTGTTGTTGATGCTGCTGTTGTGTGTGCAGTAGGGAGGTCGCCCAGCGTTATCTGCTGTGTGTGGCAGCCGTCCCGAGTTGGCCTGCCTATCCCACCGATCCCCGCTCAGCTTCCAGAAGCTTCCCCTCCATTCTCCCGGACACACCCATGGCTGCTGGGAGAACCATCCATGTGGTCCTAAACCACTGCCCGGTGCCCAGTCGATGTCGAAACTGCTTCATCCTGAGATCTCAAGTCCTAGTTTGGCCAATAAATGTCAACAACCCGAGAAGACACGAGCAAACCCTCCTGCCCACGTCTGCGCTCCCAGCAGGCGGGGCCTGCATCTGGGCTCCGACGCACTCGGGGTGGGAAACGCCTAGAGAGGTGCAGGTGTCTTTGTTCAGCAGCATCTACTAAATGTCACCTATGTGCCCGGCTGGGGATTTGAGCCCCGATTCTGGAAAGGCCCAGTCTTGGGGGCTCCCTCTGGTCACTCGGCAGTGCCCTCCTTCCTCGTGCAGCTGTGGTTGTCCATGGCCACAGCCTGAGCCGCGGTCCAGCCAGGGTGGAGGCAGGGCAGGGGAGGGCCGGGCCTCCGCCGGGTGCACGCTCGCCGTGGGGACCCTGGGGAGCACCCCCTGGACCGGGGCGCTGCAGAAGGGTGAGGCCTGCAACGATGCTTCTCTCTGCCAGTGGTTGGAAATCACGCCTTGTCCCAGGGCCCATGGCAGGGACGCTCTCCCCACTCACCCACGCTCTCCTCACTCACCCACACGGGGCTGGGGGCCCTGCCTGCGGTGCCAGGACCCACTCGAGGTCTGAGCCACCCCACGACCGTCCCAGGCGAGTCAGCTCTGCCCTTGTTATGGCTGAATGGTGTCCCCTTGGAATTCTTTGTTGCAGCCCTAACGCCCAGCACCCCAGGATGAGGCTGCGTTAGGAGACAGGACTTTCAAAGAGGTGATCAGGTTAAAACAAGGCCACCTGGGTGGGACCTAATAGAGTTGGTGTGTGTCCTTCCAAGTAGAGGAGATGCAGATGCAGATCCACACAGAGGGAAGGCCGTGTGAGGACACAGGGGGAGGACGGCGTCTAGATGTCAAGGACAGAGGCCTTGGGAGCAGCCAGCCTAACGACACTCGAGCTGGGACTTTCAGCCTCCAGGACGGGGAGAGAATAAATTTCCTAACTGTTTAAGCCTCCCATCTGGGTGATTTGTTACAGCAACCCTAGAAAATTATTACAGCCCTTGTATCTGTCTTACGGGAAAGATCTTTATTTAAAAAAAAAAATTTTTTTTTTTTTTTAAACTCACGTATCTAATAAATGTACGGAGTACCAGCTCTGTTCCAGGTGAACTTTGCTCCCCATGTACACTGGCCTTTCTCACTGCCCTTTAGACATGCAGACCCCTTCCCTTCCTCGGAGACTTTGTACTCAGTGCTTCCTCCAGTCTCTCGTTCTACCTGGATTCTTCTCCACGGCCCAGTGTTCGCAGGAGAAATCCCTACCCCCCTCCCACCGTCTTAGCAAAAGTAGCCCCTCTAGACAATATCACATCCACTTGCTTCCATTCTCCATGGCGGGGACCACTGTTAGAAGTTACTCTTACTTGTTTCTCTGCCGATTGACTTCTCATCTACTGGAGTCTAAAGCCCGTGGAAGTGTCTTGTCCACCGGTGCTTAACACAGTGAATAGCAGTTGCATGAATGAATGAATGAATGAAGTGAGAGCTTCCCAGAGAACCCTGTGAGGCCCTGGCTGACAAAGGCAGGGTCCTCTAGGCTCACTGGAGGGGCAACTCAGGGGTAGCTCATGACTCAGGGGAGACTCAGACCAGCCCCTTCTCGCTCCTTCCCTACACGGTACTCTCACCTGGGAGGGGCAGGTGTGGGCAGAGGGTCTCCTTCCTGCTGCTTAGGGTGCACTGCATCAACTCTGGGTGTCCTGAGGCTTCCTCTCTGCCCTTCCTCGGGTAGCAGGAAACCTCTTCAGGGGAAGGGAACAAGGTGGTTTCTGCACGTAGGTCTAAGTTTCGGGGGGGAGATGGGGACATGTCTAGCCTGAATGTCTCCCCGTCCAGGAGGGCCTGAGATCCTCATTAGGATGCAGAGGAATTTCGCAAAGTGGGAGGTGGAGATGATGGGGACACGCCGCACTGGGGTTTGGGCAGAGGCTTCTTCTCTCTATAGAAGAAGCATGTACGGACGTTTATAAATAGAGGGTGTAGCATTTTTATTCAGAAAAAAAATAATGGACCTCATTTTCTAAAGGAACATCTTTTTTGAATCGTCAAGAATTGCTTATAAAGACACATCTTGGGGGATACCAACCTCCAGACTCATTTAATGTATCTATCCCTGTTAATCCTAACACTTTCAACTAAAAACAAGCAAACATAATTTTCCCTAAGTGTTTCCAGCTGTGAGATGTCAATTTCTACAATTTGGTGACCAGATGTGCTGTTATATTTAATAAACTCCAAACCTTAAAATGTAAACTTTGAAATATTGCAGTGCGTTTATTTAAAAAAAAAAAAAGCCTTCTGCAGCTATCTGACATTTTAGGAGAGTGACGTGCATCCTTCGTTATTCTGAAGCTAAAAGCTCTTGCTCAGATTGTTGGGGTCTGAAAAAGGTGTGTGGGCTTTGCTCATTCCATTTCCCATTTTTTGGTAATATATAACATTACTCTCCGTGTTCTGGAAATGCTATGATTCATATTTTGTGTTTATTCAAATGTAATGTTAGTTTCTAATATGAATGTGCAATATGTCTGCGACAGAATGCTGTGAGGTTTTCACTGTAATAAAATTATAAGAGTAAAAACAGAATACAAGTTTTCAGATTTTTTTCTCACTTACTCAGACTTGATTCACAACCGATATAACGTGGGATTTTTTTTGCTTGTTTGTTTTAGTGAGCTCGTTACAAAGCATATTAATTGTCCTTGGTGGGGAGATGTAAAGAAATTCTTTTATACTTAAATAAAGTTGCTGTGACTGAAAAAACCAGCCCTCCATCTTCAGAAAATATTTATGCATTAATTTGTTACAGAATTATCTAATTATCATAATTGAAGTACCATTTGGGCCAATCTTTCTTTAAGAAATGATGTATGCTTTTTAAATGCCATTACTCTATAAAAGAAAATTGCTCGATATATTTACATCTGGTAGTAGAGTTTTCATCCTTAAAATGTATTCCTATACACAGAAAGCAAGTTTCTGTGCCTACGGCAGGGACCGCAAATGCTAATTCCTTTGTTGTTTTGTTTGTTTGAGGCCACTGATTTTTAAGTTATAAATTATTTTAGGCACCGTTGTAGAAGAAAGCGACCATCTACTAAATTATGGCAAAGATGTTAAAATCAAAAAAAAAAAAAGACGTTTTAGAATAAACAAAAGGACATCACTGTGATTTTAGGCACTGGTCTTTTGCCAAAATCCTTGTGTAAATTTTGATTTTTTTAAAGTTCTGCATCATCTATGTGTTCATCTTAGCAATGTGTAAGTGATGTGAGTACCAGGCCAGCTAATGATCTGCGACATGTTTATGTTATAATTCAGGTTTTGAAAAAGAGAGACAGAGACAGAAAGCCAAACAATATAAAACATCACGACTCTAGTTTTTCAAAAGCAAAAGTCATTCCTTCATTCATTTAAGCTGTTGACTTCCTACTATGCGTCAGGCACTGCGGTGAGCTTTGAGAGGCTGGCAGGCAGGCAAAACCCAAAATCACACAGTGACAGCGGAAATCATAGTGAGATCCTAGACAAGAGCAGAGTAAAAAGTGTGCAAAAAAAAAAAAGGAATGAATCTCATTAATTTGAGACATTTTTTCAGATTTTAGCATTTTTGCCATAATTTAGGAGGCAGCATTTTTGTCTTATAACGGTGCCTGAAATAATCTGCCCCTTAAAATCCACAGCCTCACCAACATAAAAACAACACATTAGCGAGATAGTTAACATATGCATTCAGTTCATTCAAACAGATCTCTTACTGTTAGGGGGAGAAAAGCCAGGGCACTTTAGACTTCTTTGTGGTAAAAGGGGCAGAAATAAAGAGTCTCCCCAAAAGACCTGCTTTGAACGGCTGATGGGGGGAGCCCCACGCAGGACGCGACGCTTGGGAAGAAAGCTAGGGACACTAGGGAAAGATGCCATCCCAGGAAATAATTTGCAGAACAGATGGCTAGCATTTAAATAGTCTACGGTTTGCAAATGGATGGGTCTCTGGGACCCTGACCACGCTGTGCTGTGTCCATGGCAACCATTCTCTTCCTCAGCGACGCGCGGAGTGGCTGGGCTGTGCGGGTGCGGGGGCGGATTGCGGGAAGCGGCCCCAGCTGACGTTCTGCCCAGCGGAGCGTGGGCTGTCCTCCCAAGTACCCCAGGCTGGGGTCGGGGGGGCTTCCGCAGCAGGAGTGCATTCCCCGCAATTCTGGGCCCTGGAAAGTCCCAGATCAGGGACCGGGACGGACTGGTCCTGGTGAGGACTCTATTTTGCTACCCTCTGCCTGTGTCCTCACGCGGCGGGGAGAGAGGGCATCTCTCCTGTCTCTTCGTATGAGGGCACTGATCCCACCGGAAGGGCTCCGCGCTCGTGACCTAATCACCTCCCCAAAGGTCTCACCCCGAATACCGTCACAAACGTGCAGTCCCTAGAAAGCTCCTAGCTCAGGGTCGGTGCTCGGGGAAATGTGAACACCTAACAGGTTCTGGATTTCACTGAAGATGAAAAGTGAACTAACTGAGAGTATGTGCCCAGCAACGGGGTTTATTCTTTCACTGGAGATAAAAATGAGCAGTGGGGGCGGGGCTGCCTCGAGCCTCTTTCATCCTGTAAAGGAAGGCCTACTGTGTGTCAGCTCAGCGTTCCAGTTTCCGGGGTGCTCTGGGCCCCTTCCCCACCCGCCCTTCTCCACTCGGCTGCAGTTTCCATGGTGACGGTCTGAGCCTCCCTTTGTTGCTAAGGGCAATAAGCAATCTGGAGAGAGGGAGCAGGCCATTGACTCATCTCACTGAGACTCGGTGGTGGGCACAGGAGGGATGGGGACAGGGATGCAGAAGGGGCTCAGCTCTGCAACCACCCCCGCACTGGTCCAGGCACATCTTTGGGTGCCTTTGAATGGGGTATGCACAAGAACGAAAACACACAGGTGAGGGGCTCTGAGAGTCAGGTAGAAATCATGCGTCTCCTGCAGCCTCCGGTTCCAACAGCATTATCTGTCCATCAGGTCGTCTGTCTGGTAAATACTGATGGAGTTTTTCCGGGTGCCGGGCCCTCATCTGGGGGCAGAGAATAAATGTCAGGCAACCCTGTGCTTTGTTTTCGTGGGAGACACATTCGTCTGTTCCCAAAGTTTGGCCCTTGCCTTAAGAAAGATGTCGAGTGTCTTCTGGGAGGCGGGATCGTGCTAGACCTTGGGGTAACGGCAGGGAATACAATGAGCCTCTCTCCCCTGGTGCAAGGGAGACAGACGATGAACAACAGGGTTAACACAACCTCAGAAGTTCACCAGGCCTGTGAAGAAAAACAAAGCGGAGAACTGGAAGGTGTTTATACGGAAGGCAAGGACGGTCTTCGATGCGTGCTAAAGCCGTGGGGCTATCTGAGCAGAAGGCCAAATGGTAAACATGAGACTCTCTGGGGGAGAGAAATCTAGGCAGAGGGAATAGCAGGTCCGGAGGCAAAAACGTACTGTGCGTGTGCAAGGGAGTCCAATGTAGCCACATCATGCAAGGCCTCATAAAACATGGGGCTTTGTTAACAAATTGTTAATATTGATCCTAGTGCTGCTGATGGAGTTTCTCCTATGAGTCAGACCCAGGGCCAGGAGCTGGGTTTACGCGGATGCATCAAAACTGACGCGCGAAGTTATTTGGGGATCCTGATGTTAATCAGATCATCAAAAAGCAGACGCCTTTCAAGAATATCGAGCTCGCATTTAGTGCCTTCGCTCAGCTTGTGGTGTCTGCTTGTGCTGGGCGCCCACAGACAAGTATCAACCCTGTAAGGTGGATGATATTATCATCCCAAATTTAGCCATGAGGGGATGGAGGCGCAGAGAGGTTGGACAATCTCTGGAACATTCTGCCGCTAGCCGGCGGCAGGGCTGGGGTTTGAACGGAAGCCATGTGGCTTCCGGACCCATGATTTCACCTGGTAGGGGTGCTCCTTGCAACCATGTTCTAGTCCCAAGTATACAGGGCAGGTACACAGACGGCTGGCTCGACCCCAGGGTTGGAAGACGATGCGCTAACTCGGCGGGGGGACGCCATCGCTGAAGAAAGTGACTGGGGGGAGGGATACCCGGTGTCGAAAGAGAAAGAGTCTGTGATGGGTGGACACGTCATCTTTAGGGAAAATTCTCCAAAGGAAGCCCGTCGTAGCGGGTCCACCAACCACCTTTTGTCAAATTATGGCTTATAAGACGCTGGACTGTGTGTTCAGTATCGTTACTATTGTCTTACGAGGTAGGACCAATTAATATTCCGATTTTACCCATAAGTTCGACTAGCCACGTCTCAGAGAGAGAGATGGAAACACCTGCCCCAAAACCTACATTTTTTCATATTTATTTCTTAAATTGGGGTGAAACGCACGTAACATAAAAGTTGCCATCTTGACCACTTCAAGCGTGCAGTTCAGTGGAGTTAAGTACCATCACCACCATCCGTCCGTAGGACTCTCTTCATCTTGCAAAACTGAAATTGTGTCCCTGTTGCCGCTCCCCCCAGCCCGGGGCCCCCACCATCCTGCGGGCTGTCTCTCCAACTCTGACCACTCCAAGTTCCTCCTATAAGGGGACTCCTACAGTACTTGGCTTTTTGTGACTGGCTTCTTTCACACATCATCATGTCCTCAGGTTCATCCACACCGTGGCATGTGCCAGAACCTCCTCCCTCCTTTTGGAGGCTGAACGATATCCCACTGTGTGCATACACCCCGTTTTACTTATCCATCACCTGTCAATGGACATTGGGCTGCTCCCACCTTGGGCTACTGTAAATAAGGCTGCATGAACATCGGTGTACACATATGTCTTCGAGGCCCTGCTTTCGACTCTTTGGGCAATGTACCTAGAAGCAAAGTTGCTGGATCCTAATTCCACGCTTGGTTTTTTTGAGGAACCGCCAGACCGCTCTCCACACCAGTTGCACCATTTTGTGTTCCCATCAGCAGTGCACAGGGGAAGGACCCATATTTTTAGTTATTCACAAATAATGAGTGAGAAACTAGCAAATTCCAGGCTGGGATTTTGAACATACACTCGGTTTAGTACCAGATTCCAGAATATTCCATCCTCTGAGGTTCTCTCTGCTGATTTTCAGCTACTGACACCTCCTCAGCCCAGCAGCAGTTTCCATGGTAACAGATTGAGTTTGTCTGGGTTGCTAAGGAACCAAAGAGCCCTGAGGAGGGACAGGCTGGAGCTCCAGTGTGCAGCCAGCCTAGGTGAGGGATGGGGAGGCTGGGGGGCCCTCATCAGCGGCTCACGCACATCCTCTGTGCTTGTCCTGCGACACATCTTTGCACAAGGGCACAAAGTTGGCTCTGAGCCTCACAGGATCTAGAAAACCCCACATCTTCACACCAGAAGTGGCCGGGGACCTAAACATTCAGTGTCCTCACCATATCCTCCTCCCTTTTACTTATTCACTCAACAAACATGTATTGAGAGCCTGCTCTGGTAAGTCAGTGTGCCAGACCCTGGGACCACCATGATGAGAAAGACACAGATACGACGTTGATGGATAGCAGAATGTGCTGCCCCCAAACACGTCACTTTGGGACGTGGGTTATTTTTTGCTGCAGGCCCTTGGAAAAGAGCAAATGCAGGGAGGGCTTTGTCTGGGCCCCTCAGCCACCTCAGTACAGATCCTCAACGTCATGACAGGAGCTCAACGTCATCAGTCCCTCCGGGGAGTTTCATCCCCCCAGAAACACTGGCTCTTGTCACAGGAGGGGTGACCAGAAGCAGACACCACACCCAGAAAGACCATCACAAACCATCACACCTCCTTTCCCCAAAATCATTTATTCTCCCCCAAAAGGCCCACATCCCCTGTCCCTCTCCCTATGGGGACGGTACACAAGCCTGCATCCCAGGCCGCTCTGGGAGCTGCTTTCTGCCTGGGCGTCTCCCATGTATACGTGAGATGTACACCTTAATAAATTCTGTTTTATGCTTGTTAATCTGTCCTTCGTTACAGGGATCTCAGCCAAGAACTCAGAAGGGTGGAGAGAAAATTATCTTTCCTCCCTGCAATGTTTTTGTTTGTTCGTTTTGTTTTGTTTTTCTCTACAAGAGCCTGCTTGGAGATGCTTCCATTCGATAATTTATCCTACAGATGTTCACTGTAGGTCCACCCTGTGCTAGGCTATGTTAGCAAGAAGAGAAAGAAACACGACCCTCCCCGGAGATGGCAGTTATGGGTTGGGGTCATCCTTAGTCAAGTAGCCAGTGCCTGAGCAGTCCCTCACAGACCTTATTTTTTTTAAAGATTTTATTTATTTATTTGAGAGAGAGAATGAAAGAGAGAGAGCACAAGAGCGGGGAGGGTCAGAGGGAGAAGCAGACTCCCTGCCGAACAGGGAGCCCGATGCGGGACTCGATCCCGGGACTCCAGGATCATGACCTGAGCTGAGGGCAGTTGCTTAACCAACTGAGCCACCCAGGTGCCCTTATTCAAATGCATCCTTGGAATGTTCTACAGCTTGATTGTGGTGTTGTACCCAGGTGCCTACATTCATCAAAACCCATTAGCTGCATGCTTACAACAGGTGCCTTTTGCTGTATGTACATTACACACCGATAAGTTGATTTTTTAAAAAAATGCATTTTGGGGCAGGGTCAGAATTTTACTATTTGGGTCTCTGTGGACTCCTAAGAAATCCCAAGTGTCAAAAAAAAAAAAAAAGCCGCTGATATAAGCAGCATCTTCTGACCACTCATCCGCGGACTGGGAGGAGCCCTTTGACTCTAGGGACGGACTCCTATGCATCGTACCTGCCCCAGGATGACTTCAGGGGAGACGGGGGCTCGGTGAGTCAGATGAAGGAGATGAGTGGAATCAGTCGGTTTGCATATGGCAGGCTGTTATTCTCCTTCAGAATTGGGTCGCTGGGGAAGGCTGTCTCTCCTCTAAGTCCCAGCCCCCCCACCCCCCAGATACCAAAACATCCTAAGACACCGAAAGGTAAAAACCATAATTAATGTAGGTGGATCGATGGGTCAGTGGGCAAGCAGGTGGGTGGGTCAGTGGATGGACGGATGAGTTCAAATGCCAACTGCATAGATTTCCACCCCCAAAATGGGAAGAAAATTGCAAGTACAAGTAGAAATGAGGTACGTGACATCCCTCCCCCAGCACAGGGTGACTCCTTGCGGCCCAGGTACTCCTTCATTCAAAACATTTATTAAGTTCCTGCTGGGCCACGATTACTAGATCACACACAGTCTTTAGCCACCTTCTGGAACATTCCAGGTTCTCTGGATCCCTTCCGTCCCCTCCTCCCCACTGCAGCCGTTTTCATGGCAACAGCCTCGGCCAATCACCGCTGAAGGAGAAGAAGCTGGCTTGCCGACTTCCAGCCAGGGTCCCCAGGGATGGGAGAAGTAGCATAAACTCGGGAGGCTGCCCATCGCAACGCAAAGGGAGTCGAGTGTGTGGGATGGCACAGAAGCCATACCCTCCCAGAGCTTCATCTAGCGGGAGACACAGGAAGAGAGCCAGGGGTGAGAAACATCAGGAACAGAGCAAGGGTGGAGGGTGGGAACAGGGAAGGGCGTGGGGGGAGGGGAGCGGAGGAGGGAGGACCCTGCTGAAGTGGTGTCTGAGCGGACTTGAAATAAGAGAGCAGGGGAGGCTGGAAGTCCAAGTGAGGACCCTCTTCCCGGCTTGCCCATGATTGCCTTTGGGCTGTGTCCTCGCTCCATGGGGAGAGAGTGCTCTGGGGTCTCCTCCTCTTCTTCCAAACACCACTGATCCCACCCTCATGACCTCATTTAAACCTAATCACCCCCTCAAAGCCCACATCCCAGTACTGGCACACTTGGGGGGTTAGGGCTTCAACATGAGTTTTGGGGGGATGCAATTCAGCCCATATGGGTACCCTGGGGGTACCAGGAAAACTCAGTCCTGAATTTGGTTTGGGAGTCGTCCTCACCCGCCAACGCAAATATGAAGCGGAACACAAATGAAAAGGCAGCTTCATCCTGAGCCTCAAAGGATCTCCACAAAGGAAGTGACCTGCACGTGAAGAAGGAAGCCACCATATATGT